ACTGGAAATAAGTAAACATGTATAATATATAACCAAATAAATAAGAAACGTAGAATGTTTATTAGCAAAACGAATGTCAAATAAAATAAATAAATTACACAAAGTTTAAATAAAGTAAAAATCAGCTAACAATGTGGAACCAATTAAATAAGAAAAGAATGTTTAAAAAAACTTCCAAAATCACCTTAGATAAACGGCAAAAGTCAACAGGCTTTTCAAAATCCAAAATATTGCCAAACAGGCACTTTTGCATTTAGTTTCGAAACTAAATAATCCGCGATCGTCTTGTCTCACCTCACCTCACTCTTCTTGTCAGTCAGCTCGACTCACTCTCACTGGAGAAATTAAATCTGATCTGTGATGCGACTGTCGTTCGGCACGCTGCATTGAGCAGCCGCGTTCAGTTTTTAATTGTAGTGTCTGTTCTTTCACTGAACTAAATGATTTTTATTACTATAAAAAAATCAAAACGACGGTGGGGGTCGGTGCCGTGGTGGGCAAGTGACGTAACCGGTGTTGCGGCTTAACAACGGTATCACTGTCAGCACCGTCTATTGCGGCAAGCTTAGTACAAAGCTGGGCAAACTCGTGCTTTAGAGGGATAGTTCATCCAAACATAAAAATTGTTATAATTTATTCATCCTCATGTTGTTCTAAACCTGTATGAATTTCTTTCTTCTGGCTAACACAAAGATATTTTGAAGAATATTTCTGGTAACCAAACAGTTGCATTGGTCCCCATTGACGTCTATATTATGGAGAAAAAATATATACTGTGGAAGTCAGTGGGGACCAGTAACTGTTTGGTTACCAACATTCCTCTTTCTTTTAAAATTGTTTTTTTATCATTTGTTTCAGCTAATTCTATTTTATATAGATAAATCGATATTGTCATTCCGATTTTTTATTTTTTTTTGTAAATAATTCTGAATGATTTTTTTCAACCAAACAGCTGTTTTTGCAAAGTAGATTGAAAAGCCGTTTTTGAATCACCATCGGGCCAAACCGTTCTCACTACATGCCGTGCTGAACCTCAAATGGAAATATAACTAACCGTTACTTACCATTCTTAGAACCATTCAGGCTGGCTCACAAAATTAACACAAGGAAATGTTGAATATTTTATTTTTTTATTTACGCATAAAATAAGGTGTAGTTACCTAAACAAAACGGAGTTCTGTAATGAGTCAAATTGTTGAAGTAAAAGTCATCAATATTTGAATCAATACATTGAAAGTAACTGCTTGTCTGGCAGCTCCACTCACTGAGCTCTCGGTTCTGTAGATCCTGAAGCGTGTGCCCAACAGTGTGATTTGGCTGCTGCGCTTCCCAGCCGTGGGTGAGCCCAATATCCAACAGTACGCTCAGAACATGGGCCTGCCTGCTTCTCGCATCATCTTCTCCCCTGTGGCTCCCAAAGAGGAGCATGTGCGACGTGGACAGCTGGCTGATGTGTGCCTGGACACGCCGCTCTGTAACGGACACACCACAGGCATGGATGTGCTGTGGGCTGGTACCCCCATGGTTACTATATGAAAAGTTGTGATTTTCTAGGCCGATATGGCTAGCAACTATACTCTCATTCCAGCGTAATAATCAAGGAACTTTGCTGTCCACCGGCTTCCGTCGGTCTTAGTATACGATGTAACTACAGAAGAGTCAAGTTTTAAATAGGAAAAATAATCGAAACTCTTTGGTAATTTTTGAGCGAGATGCTAACGGTCTAATCAGATTCAATGATCTATGCTAAGCTACAGCTAAAAGTCCAGACCCGGAGATCGGCTGAATGGATTCGAAAACGGTAAAACTCAACTGTTTAACTCTAGGGGAGTCGGAAAATGAGCCTATTTTCAAAAATAGTGGAGTGCTCCTTTAAAACAATATTTGTAAGGAATGGCTTACCATTTTTCATCCATGGTCATAATTTTACTTGCCAAAAAAATTAATTAGTAAACACCCTGACATCCTGATGTTTTCTGCAGGAGAGACACTGGCTTCACGTGTCGCTGCCTCTCAGCTCACCTGTCTTGGCTGTCCTGAGCTCATCGCCCAAAGCCGTCAGGAGTATGAAGATGTGGCTGTGAAGCTTGGCACTGATATGGAATTGTAAGTTGTTCTTGTCAATTTCCACTTTCAAATCAAGACATGTTTAAGATCCTTGAAACACGTTCTTCCTTCGTTCCGCTCAGCCTGAAGAAGGTCCGCTCCCGCGTGTGGAAGCAGCGCATCTGCAGCCCGCTCTTCAACACCAAACAGTACACCATGGACCTGGAGAGACTCTACCTGCAGATGTGGGAGCGTTACGCCGCTGGAGGCAAACCTGACCACATGGTCAAAATGCAGTCTCTGGAGAGCAGCGAGAGCGGATAAGCTAAGCTTGTCCCTGCATGTCCCCCGACTCCTCATGTCCTCCAGTATGTGACGGTCACAGAGACTCTATGGGTGAGCACTGTGACTATGATCCCCACCAGCTTTTGTTTCCATGAGCCAGAATGGACAGTAGGATGCACAAAGCTGCTCCACTGAAACTCCTCCCCCTTTTCCATCGTCTGACTAAATTGATGTTGGTTGGCTCCACTTTCATTGTTTGTTTCTCTGCTTCTTAAGGGACTTTTCTGTAATTGAAGTGGACTTTATGAAAAAAGTGAGGTCTAAAATGAGAAGGGGCAGTCTTAAAATAATTCAGAAAATATATAAACGTAAAGTAATCATCACAGATAGGTTTTTTTTTAATTAGGTTATGTGCTTTTTGACCTATTTTAGCTTTATCATGACTTCAATCTGGGTGACGGATACATACCTCGGATCACCAATCTTTTTCCCAAATGAATACCGACATTTCCATATGCTATCAATAGAGAAAATTTCCTCTCTTTTTCAAAACATGCTATGTGAACATGCTGAATAGAGGAGTGTCTTAAGACACAATGACAGAAGGCTTGCAAATTGCCTCCTGATTTTTTATTTTTTTTTTGTTTGTTTTTTACCAGGAAAGGTCTAGGTAAGTATGTTCTAAGCGGTTTTGGTTTTGTACACTGTCTTCCTATTAACTCATTTTGTTTATGCATTGTCAGTGTCAATTCTGTAAGGCTCTTTACATAAACTGAAATAAAGAGATGTGGCAAACCTTAAAGAGAGTTGCACATACTTCGCTGCAGTTCTTTTTTCTTTTTAATTTATTCCATTCCTTTTAGGAGCTAGCACATACTGGTTATTGTGATCTATATTGCTGATACGGTGTGCAGGGTGTCTTGTTGCTGACAGTACTGTGATGTGCACCCATTGTAAATAAAGAAATGATGAAGAATCCATTTGTTCTAATATTGAAAATAGTGCATCTGTCATCCAGTGTTCACAGTATCACTGATCATAATGGGCTCTATTCACATCACATTCATTTCAGTGTAGACCGAGTGTAATATTTTATTTCTAGACTTTATATATATATATATATATATATATATTATATTTAATAGGGGGAGACTGGGACTAAAGATCACTCAGGGTTGTCACAGATTAGGTTATCTAAGTGACTAGCTGTTTCCATCACCCTGTTTTTATGTGCATTTTGAAGTATTGCATCAGAAACGAGTGATGGAAATGTCAAATTTTAAAAAATCCCTTAATTCGCAAAAAAAAAAAGTTTACGCTTGCTTGAGGTGGTTTTTAACTTTAGTGAAAAAGAGTTCATGCGAATAATGGGAGCTGGAAATGCATTTGCCGAATAAATTCCTCCATGTGCATCTAAAAAGTCATGTGACTTAGCATGATGGGATGGCATGATCTCGTTGCACAGCATCTGAAATGTTTTGGTCATTCTGCGATGCCTGAGTCAAAGTCTGTCATCAAAGTATTTCTGCATAATTGCCTCCCAGAACTGTCTTGCACGACTGCGTTTCCAAACAGCAGCATCCACCTCCGAAAGCAATGACTGCATTTACTGTGTTTCGTCTGCTCGCTCTGAGGTGCAAGTCATTTATTATATAAAGGAAAATGATTATATTCAGTGGCTTCTTCTACTTTTCTTAGTGGTATTTTGTGCACAAGTTAAATTTGGATGGAACCATATGAAGACTTTCAAGCCAAAGGTGCAATTACCTAAATATTTTTTTCTTTAGCAGTGGTTTAGATGTTGATATATCTAACATCTAGTATAAACCCCTCAAAGATTAAGTTAATATTTGTGAATTCTGACCTCTAAACTAAAATTCCAATAACTTTTCAGTAAGTGTAGGTGAAAAAGTGAACATAATATAACCACACTGACATGTTAAATGGTTAGTTCATTCAAAAATTCCAAACCCATAAGACTTTAATCTTCTGAGCACAAATGAATATTAGGACCAACACTGTGACAGAGAGAGGTTCAGCACAGCAGGATCTAGTTTTCCTCTCGATTGAAGCCGAGTCTGACATTTCTGGCATGAAACCTCAGCATCCAACATGTATTTGAGTGTGGCAGTTATGCTAAGAGCAAAGGTTTTTGTACAGGACATGTTTATTGTTAAAGACAAACTGTACTGGATTGGTTTTCAGTCCCAATTCAGGGAATCTGTCAGTAAGTTTACATTTCATAACCTGACTCTTTACTGGGCTTCATGTCACTTATTGAGCCAATTAATGGTGACTTCTCTTAACAGGTCTAGAGGTTAAGTAAACTATACCTTTACATTATAATGAAATGCCATTTTCTGTAAATACAGTTTGTATGTGAGCACATTTGCAGTGTTTATGCACAGCAGTCAATGCTGAGGCGCTGGCCACCAGAAATAATACAAGTCCAAGTGTTAATAGCTGCAAATGTTACCTTAAAATGCAATTTCTACTTGATCAACCTTCACATAAACTTAGTTGGTATGACCTAATGTTTTTAAAAATAAAAATTCCAATGATCACGTTTCAAAATTAGTCATAAAGCATAATTGCTCCTACTAGTTGCATGAGGGCTACTTAGCACAGCATCAAAACCTGACAATTTATGAGATTAAAATCATGTTTTTGCTCCATACTAATTTTAATGTCAGTCAAGTGTTTGAAATAATCTTCTGTAATCCGATGTAACTTCTTATCACAGTATGAGCCAGAAAATGTATGATTTTAGCATTAGTACATACAGTGAATATCGATTAGCACTGCATTAGAAATAAACGTATGAATACACCCGAGATTGATTTAGGAACACAGAAAAGCCAGATAGCTAATCATCTGAATATTGTCTCAACCAGGGATTGGAATGAACTTTTTCACTCACCAGTCAATTTGAAGGACTATAATGCGCTATGAGCTCTCTCAAGTACTGAGGAGCTAAACCATTCAGGGCTTTATAAGTAATTAGTAAGATTTTAAAATGTATTTGATGATCAATAGGGAGCCAGTGCAAGGTCAGAAAGGGGAAAAGTCATTACAGCACAAAATGCACGTACTAAACTACTATCAAAACTACTTCTTGCACAAACCTAGTTTAAATTCACTCTTTAGCCTTGGTTTTGTGTCACTTGAGAAGGGTGACATTACCAGGTCAGAGGGAATTGTAATGCTTGCAACAGAAACACAGCTGGACCTTTAGGCAATGAAGGCATGTGGGTTATTGTTTACGGACTGTATAAGAACAGGTTGTGTATCACAATTATTTCCAGTTTGGTCAACAGAGCAACCTTCCATGAGCATGTAACATCAACTCCAAGCTCTTGTGTGGTCTTAACCATTATCCTAAGCTATTTTCATCATATACAGACCACTTTGGACAATACAGAATAATAATACAAGAATGTATTTGTAAATATTAATTTGAACAAGCAATCATACACATTTAAACAGCTCAATTTCAGTCATTCTTCTGAAACTTGCTGTGCTACTGTCACAATGCAACAACAATAAATCTGGGAGAAAACCGTGGGGCATTTATTATTGTACCGTAGGTCCATTCGCCCGCAGCACGACAAATACTTCAGGAACCGGAAGTTGTTTTTCTCTCTCAGCTGACAAGTTCCGGTTGGGGAAATTTGAACGCTGTTACACAGTCAGCTCGAGCTGGTGGTTTAAAGCGCGATATATCACATTCAATTTTACGAGGTATGTCGAATGAACCAAACATTTTGGCTAAAGCTAAATGTCCGTTTGTCATTTAGTGTGTGCGTTTGTCACGTGGTCGCTTGTTTATTTGTCGATTTATCGCTCGATATTGCAAACAGGAAAAACGCCGATAAATATATCCAGTTTGGGTTGGATATTTATTTTATTGTTATACCACGGGGCCGTGGAATGCTTGAATCTGATTGGCTGAGGAGCGTTCTGAGGCGTGCAGCTATTTTCAGAGAAACGCACGGCGAACGTAGTTCCAGGCAGCTCTCTTGACCGCATCACAGTCCCATATCACTTCGCATAGTTAACTAATAACAGAGACTAGCGTACAGTGCCTCTACTACAGCACACAGGAATTACTGCAATCACACGTGCCCTGACGACTTCATCAGTTAGCCTTCAGATATAGTTTAGCAGTTTAGAGGCTACACATGACATTTCTCACTAGCGAGGGAATAACAGCGCTGTTTAGAGACGCTGAACACTGTTGAGGGACGCACAGAGCTAGCCTAATTCACACAAGCTCTCTCTTTCTCTGTGTGTCTCTGTCTCTCTCGCTCTCTTTCTAATAACTGCATTAATAACTGCATTAGAATGCCATCAACGGCTCAAGCCTCCATTGCCAGCTTTAAAATGAGGTTTTGGAACTAGAAAAAGACGCGTTGGATGAGATGCGGAAGAATAATCCTGCTCACAATAGCGATTTAAGTACAAAAACCGGACGAATCCCTTTAAATATATCATCTGATCGATGTCTTGAGGTGTGGTAACCGTAGTATAAGCGGAATAATTGACGACGGTACGTTGAATTATTAGAAAAATAATGCACACCCGAGGTGTAACGGCCACGACGCGAAGGGTGTGCATTATTTTTCTAATCATTCAACGGCCCGTCGTCAATTATTCCTTACGTATTAGATAGTATTCTCAATTGAAACGAGTAGAGAGAGGCTTGGACCTGGAAACAGTATTACTTGTCACAACTTAACAAGTGGATTGTAACGTTGCATTAACTCGCAAAAGCACTTAAATATAAATGTTCCTCATCACATATCATTTCTTTCACAAAAGAATGCAAAAGCATTGAAATATTTTTTTTTCCTCCCGCATCACCACCTCGGGTGTGCACTATATTTCTAATAATTCAACGCCCGGAGTCAATTATTCCTTAAGTGATAAACGGGTCTGTATTCACGTTTTGATGATAGACATGGGTTTTATCATCGTGAGTGATGGACATTCAGTCAGTACCTATTTAAATCGGCAGGTGTAACGCTATCTTGAAGAAGTACCGTGTAACGTCTAGATGTAACGTAGTAACGTTACATGGCTGTCCAGTCCTGTACTACTGAAGAGTTTCGCTCCAATCCGTATAAAACACCAGTGTTGGGCAGTAACTAGTTAATAGCAAGTAGTTACAGTAATAATATTACTTTTAGCTAGTAGTGTAACTAATTACTATGAAGATTTCAGTAATAACATTACAGCTACCATCCATAACAGCTGGTTACTTTTGATGCATCGACCCCTACTGATTTGAAATCCAATAATTCCTAGATGTATTTTCATAATTTTGACGACTGGCACAGGCACATGAAGTCAGCAGTGCATCAGGAAAGCTTGGCATATGGAAAAGCTTACATTCAGGGGATGGAAATATTGCCATTACACTGATTTTGTCAGTAGAAAAGGGTGATATTAGCACAGATGTGTAAGTTGTGGCATTACTTTACTCTTGCCCACCCACATCCCTCTGATCCTGATATAAATTATATTCCTATAATTAAAAATCGTATGAACTTACAGGATTTCTGCTGATAAAATACTTAATGTATATGCTTCATGTTACCAATATAATCATATATGGCTACATTTAGCTTCAAGCTCCACATGACAGTTAATACAGCACTTTTACTTAAAAGTCACTATCAATCACCATTGAGTGTTTGTACAAACTTCTGACTGCGATCCAATGTGGATTTTGGTCAAATGATGAGGCAGAAATATATTGTTAGTAACATTCTAAAAGAATTTTATGAGAAGATACACAAT